TTAAGTAAATTAGATAAATGACCGTAACTTTTGTTACTTTGTATAGAACCTTTTACAGTCGGTGTATATACATGGTGTCATCATTCTCTGATAATTTCGTTAAGTTCCAACAAGAAGTTTTGGGATAGGATGGAAAAATGTTACCTCCTTAATAATTTGAATTGCAATCTCTCTTTCTCTCTCTCTCCCTCTCCCTCTCTCCCTCTCTCTCTCTCTCTCTATATATATATATATATATATATATATGCATGTATACATATATATATGTATGTATATATATATGTATATATATATATATGTTGGCTAATATATATGTATGTGCATATGTATATATATATATATATATATATATATATATATATGTTGGTTAATATATATATATATATATTGGTCAATATATACTCATACGGTTTACCCATACCCGACTTCCCTCTTAGAACTGAGGCCCTATTGAGCGGGTTACACATAACCCCGTCTATGGTATTGGGCATTATCTCCAATTTAGACCCCAACAAGACTAGTGGTGGGGATGGGATACCAGCCATTGTCTTGAAGAAGTGCGCGCCTGAACTGGCGCCCGCCCTCTCTAAAGTATATAACTACTGCCTCAAGGAATTTGGTTTTCCTGACTGCTGGAAGTCCTCATAGATTGTTCCTGTCTTTAAGAACTCAGGCGACCCCTCTGACCCTTCTAATTACCGTCCTATCAGTCTCCTACCCCTCTTCGGCAAAGTCTTCTAAGCCCTAATCAAAGCCGATGTGGTTAAACTACCTTACATCCCATGATCTGCTCACAGACAAGCAATATGGCTTCCGCTTTTCCCGATCTACTGCTGATGCGCTTACGGCCATCACTGAAACTGTCTACCAAGCTCTTCAAAATAACGGAGAAGTTCGTGCCGTGGCCCTACACATCTCCAAAGTGTTTGATAGGGTTTGGCATGCCGGCCTTCTTCGCAAGCTCCAGGATTATGGTATTACAGGTCGATTGTTTGACCCAATACAATCATTCCTGTCAAACCGTGAATTGAAGTTCTTTCTCAATGGATTCTCCTCCAGTTTCTATACCACGAACGCAGGTGTTCCTCAAGGCTCCATCCTAGGCCCCACTCGATACCTTATCTACATAAATGACCTTCCTGACGTCATAGACTCCCAAGTTGGCATGTACGCGGATGACACTACATTAAACTTCTGCTTCAAAAACAAATCTAGTGTCGCTGACAAAACTAACCTGGCCGTGCGTCTCGAAAAGAACCTCCAATCGGTTGTGAACTGGGTCAGGAATTGGCTGGTCAACTTTAATGCCTCAAAAACAAAATTGCTCTCTATTAATCACCACAGAGATCCTTCCATTCACCCTCCCGTCATTAGAATGTCTGACGCTCAACTTCTCGAGAGCAACTCTCTGCGGCTGCTCGGTCTCATGTTGACTGCTGACCTGAGATGGAACAAATACATTGAGTCAATTGCATCGTCCACCGCAAGGAAAGTTGACTCCTTATGCTGCGCCAGGAAGTTTTTCTCCCCGAAATCGATCCTTCAGATCTACAAATCAACAATTCACCCTTGCATGGAGTATTGCTGCCATATATGGTCTGGAGCCCCTTCTGTTTGCCTCGGGGTTCATGATAAGATCCAGAGGCAGATATGCAATATAATTGGCCCTGATCTGGCATCTCGTCTACAGTCGCTCTCTCACAGACCTGCCGTCGCCTCTCTGTGTCTTTTTTACATATACTTTTATAGCAATTCCTCCGATGAGCTGCTTTCACTGGTTCCCAGATTCATGAGTTCAAGCGCCCTACGAGGCTGGCATCGCGCTCTCACCCTTTCATTGTTTCACTGTGGAAATCCCTTCCCTATTCCTGTTTCCCTGAGAGCTATAATCTCCAACTATTCAAATGTAATGTCAATCGACATCTCCAGTTGCCTTGATCTATCCACTATCCTTCTCCTCATCCTTTCCTCTATCACTCCTATGTGATCTTGCTCCAAATCTTCTGTAACACCTTGCGTCCTAGTGGTTTCCCGCCTTGCTTGGGGAGAAACGCTTAATATATATATATATATATATATATATATATATATATATATATATATATATATATATATATATATAAAAAGATATTTTGTAGGTACAAAATTTAATGATCGAAATAAAAGTGTAAAATTTAATATTACAAGACATATTAAAACAATATAAAAATAATAAAAAAAAACTCAACAACAAGGGGGGGCAAGCAACCGCTTTCGCTCCCTCTCGTCAGGCTTCCACGAGAGATTCAAAATTAAAACAGAAATGTACAATAAGAATAGGTGGAAAATATATATATATATATATATATATATAAATATATATATATATATGCATGCGATTTCTATATATATTTTTGTATATTATATATGCGCGGTACATATTGGAAAGCGCTCAATATCAGTAATAGAGCAAATATAATTAGTTTTATTGATTTGATTGCGTGACCCTGGGATTCACGCC